ATTGAACAGGAAACATTTCAGTCAAGGGGCATCATATGACCAATATAGACAGAAGAGCAACATTTATTTGGACATTTAAGTCGATACCATTCCTAGGTGAACTTAACATCTGTATGCAGTCAGATCAGTCTCAATATTAATAAATGCTCACAGAAGGATTCACAAATGTATTTTGCGATTTATATATAAATGACTCTCCACAACAATATCTCTCAATGCACTCACAAATATTTATTGTTGTATATAAATGTACAAAAAATGGGCATTTATACTGCTTTTTATTAATTCAAAGATGGCTCTGAATTAATAATCAAATATGTTTCCTTTCTTTACTACTGGATGAAATTACAAAATGTACCCATCATTTCCCTCATGCTAGTATAGCCACATAAAAGTATCAAACCACCTGTTAAAATGCACCAGAATACAGGAAATCTATTTTTTTTTCGTGGTGGGGGACCCCCACACCCCCCGTTAAAAATGTCCCCCCCACATTCAGGATGCTTCCTACGCCCATGCACTTGGTCCCACCTCTGCTGTATACACAAACGCCTTTACGCTTTGGAGCTTGTTTATCCATCTGTAAGCAACTGCCAGCTAGGTCTCTCAGTCACTCACTCCTGATCGTTCACTGCTCAGTGACAGCTGCTACGGGCCTGATGTGTGAAATTGAAACTGATAGATAGAACAAAGGTAGCCTATCAAAACGGCCCAGCACAGCCCAGTGGGCCACATCCCGCTGGGCTGGGCTGGGCTGGGCTGGGCCGGAACACTTACAAATGTGGGCCGGTAGAATTCAGGCATTTAAAAAATAAATAAATGTGGACACGGTCCGGTCGTCCCACAATCTTCACCTGTATATCACCTCTCCATGCCTCAACAGCTCTACGTCAAATCTGACATCTCACCATATGCCGTTTCCATGGAAACTCATCCCTCTTCATAAAACGGTGGCGGTTTTCTCATAACTTCAATGAAAATGCTCCAAACGGCCCCAGGTTTGGTAACGATCCAGCCATCAACGCATCTAAGCGTATTATGGGATGTCATCAAATGCCGTTGGCATGGCGACAGATCATTCGCCATCAAGTTAGTTCAAAAGTTTGCAGTTCAAAAGTTTGCAGTTCAAATATTCTGCTGCTTTTCACTTTCTTTTCTTCTCTCATCACACATTCAAGCCCCCAGTGTTCATGTATCATTTCAATCTAAATTCTTCACTTTCTTCTTACACATTACATTTCGGCATAGCGGTTTAGCGTCAGCTTTTCAGCATAAAGCATTCCCACTAGAAATGTCTTCAGGAATTGCATTCTCTAGTCTGGTTTGTTCCCCACATCCTAACCTCTTTCCAAACCTCTTCCTCTAAGACCAGACAAGGCCGTGCAGACCTAGACCTGCGTGATGGAGCTGCCATGTTGAAAGAGAAACAGCTGTTCGCCCTCTTCCCCACCATTGACAGACATTTCCTCCAGGACATCTTCAGAGACCACAAGTAAGAACATTACATTGACAATGTATTTGTTTGATTTGTTTGACAGAGACTCTATTATCGATTAAACATGTATGTGATGTGTTAAAGTACAGTTCCTTACTCTGTTTATTTGTTTATTCTTGCATAGTTATAGCCTGATCCAGACAGAGCTGTTCCTTCGCTCTCTACTAGACGAAGGGCCCGTAAAGACAGTAGTGGCCCCCGAGCCTCCTCGGTCCGACCACCTCAGAGCAGCCAGCAAGGAGCGGGAGAAGGTACTGGCAAACACCAGCATGGAGATGAAGAGATGTGTCCTTATTGGTTACTGGCTTTGCTAAACTGCTGTGTGTTTCTCTATGTCCCCTTTTGAATTTTCCAGAGGCAGAAGCCCCCGGAGTCAACCGTACTCGACTATCAGGATACGGAGGACCCGGACTACCAGGACTTCAGGGCCGAGGCCAGCCAACAACGGGAGCGACAGCTCGAGTGTTTCTCCAAGGCTGCTGAGGCCTACAAGCAAGGAAGGAAACAAGTTGCTTCATTTTACGCACAGCAGGTGAGGCGCTGGATGTCTTACAATAATATTTTCACTTGTAAAGCAATGTCTTTTGCCCAACACTGTGGGGGGAAACATTATCATTTAGATCTTCTTGTATTGTCTCTTTGAATTTGCAGCTCTTATTTTATTTGTAATTGTGACGGAGCGGATCACATGAGTGACTCACTCCGCCACTGACAGCCGACACACACACACGCACACACAACACACCAAACATTTCGGAGAAAAGACGGAGCTGCATCACTTCCGTGTTTTAAATTCCTAAAAATGAACCATGCAATTTCTTATTTATTTTTACTTTTGTTAATTATGGGGAATGATGGTTAAGAGGTAGTTAACCTGTGTATGTTTGGTGCAGATAGTTTCCTCATGTTGGAGGAAATTACATTTATGTTGACAATGTGGTTTGGAGTTGATTGTGTCACCTGTTGACGGTGAGCCTGTGGGAGAGGCCATGGGTTCAAAAGGGACGGTGTTGGTTCCTTGTGGGGGCGGACTGTGTCACTCGAAGAATGTTGCAGTGAAGGCAACAGCTGGGATGTGTTCGGGGGTTTGTTGCAGAGAAGGCAACAGCCAGAACACGTTTACTCTGAATGAGTGATGGACGGCCTGTTTTTGTCTTTTATTTTTGTTGTTTACATTGTGCTGGTTCCGTTTTTGTTTTGTTGCTGTAAATAAAGTTGTGGAGCTTAACCCAACCGACTAGGCCAGTGTTTTTTGAACGGACAAATAGAGCCCCGTCACAGTAATCCTCCACTCACAGTTTATGCATTTGCATCACCTCTCCTGTAGGGACACCTGCATGGCCAGCAGATGCGTGAGGCCAATCACCGAGCAGCAGTTCAGATTTTTGAGAAGGTTAACTCATCGCTGCTGCCCAGCAACATCCTGGACCTCCACGGGCTGCATGTCGATGAGGCCCTGCAGCATCTGACCCAAGTGTTACAGGACAAAACCACAGGTAATTACGAGGGCTCTCCTATGCTGTATGTTTAACAATAATAGTCATTGGAAGATTTGAAGATAAATTAATTTTTTGTTAATGTTTTAGAGCATTTTACACCTTTTTTATTTGTTAGTCCAAGTTGACCCATGATAGGGAATGAGGGGAGGTGCATGTGGAATGACACATTTAATGCCACTTAAGTCATAGCCCACCACTGCCACTAAAATCGAAAACAAATTCCTGCATTTCCTTCTGATCAGTCTCACGGTCCTGATGTGGTAACCCTTCTCTATTCAGAACATTTGGCAACATATTTTGCTAAGCATCAAGATGATAGATGTTGCAAAATACAGAAATGACTATCAAGCATTGATAATCAGAATATCTTATCTAGGACACTTGCAGAAGTTTGTGTTCCCGTCGCTTTGTCAAAGTTTGTGCGAGCTTCTCCCCTTAACTGTATGGTGTGTGTTGGTTTGTTTTTCTTTGATCCTCTTTCTGAGTAGACTGTGAGCAGGGTCTGTGTCGACCTCAGCTCTCTGTCATCACAGGAAGAGGGAACCACAGCCAGGGGGGCGTGGCCCGCATCCGCCCTGCCGTTATAGACTACCTCACCAACAAAAGCTACAGGTACACACACACAGAAAACACACACACGAACACACAAAAAAACATACAAGCAGAACATGTTCATCGTCACCCACCTTTTCTCCTATCTCTTCATCTCTCAGGTTCACTGAGCCAAAGCCAGGTCTCGTGTTGGTCTCTTTGAAGTGAGAAGAACCGGGTCTATTGGATTCAAGCTTAAGCTGCTATAGAGGACAACATACACATGTACACACACACACTTCTACAACGCTACATATACAATTACTATAGTTTATACAGTACAATACACTCAATTTGTTTTTGGTACCTTTTTTATCTTGCTTTCTCTCTATGTTCACTCCATAAGTCGTCTTAATCTTTGGGAAATTTAGGAGAATTTGGGTTGAATCATAAACGAGTTTTAATTTGTTAGAATGAATTGAAATACAAATAAGGTATTTTTAAAGCAGCTGTAAAGCTAGAATGTACATTTAAAAAAAAAAATTATTTTATAGTGTTGCAGAATATACTTTATGTTTATCTTTACGCCTTTTTAAGATAATTTTTAAATCGAAATCCCTTTTTGTTTTGAAGGCTTGATGTTGAATAAGGTGTTATTTAATTGACTCGTCTGCAGTAATGTTTGAGACGTATTATGAGGATTTTATCAGACTTGAATTATGATTGCATGCTGTCTTCTTGGAGGTTGCTCTCTAGGAATTTAAGTATTATGGCATCTTTTATGAGGCACTAAAAAGTATGGATTTAATCCTCCATTAAATGCATGCGATCTATCCAGATGCTAAGGAGAAGGTTTTTTGTGTCTCTTGGTTTTAGTGTTTCACATTCAGTTCTTAAATATTGTTAACATCCTCCTTTTAGAGTTCTGCTGAACATAAAACGGCAACTGCTTATTTTCTTAAGGCCGAACCAAGCTTAGCTGCTAATATGTGGAGATTCAAACTCAGGAAAAGATACATCAGTGTTTGGTTTCCTTTTTTCGAGGCCAATTGACTTACTTCTCCAGCCTTTTCATGGTAGCTAGTTGTTTTTAAAGCGTTGTGCCACATTTTTATAGTAGTTGTATTCCTCAGGTTGCTTCTCGATTTTTGTAGATTTAAAAAAAAAATCCTCTGTTTTTCTATCCGTGTGATATTTTTCATATTGGTCCAACAACAATGTTGAACAATTGTACTGACTGTACATAATGTTGTTGAATTAATTATAAAGAGAAATGTGTATTTTTATATTAATTTGTTCAAATGGTTTTACAGATAATATTGTATTGTGGAATAAACTCACATTTGTTTACAATTCATGACTACTGCATGTATGGCTTTACACCAAAAACACATGTGTATCTTGTATTTATTTATTTATTATTAAATATCACTAAAATAACAACCTAACAAACAATAAGCTACAGGAACATGAAAGGAAAAAAAAGAAAAATCAAGATCCATTCACATTTATAATTCACGATCAAATAAGGATACATACAGTATTACCTTCGGTTCATAAACCAGTGTCCATTTATTCTTTCTTTATCCACTTTATCAACACTTGAGCAATTCAAGAGCATTATAACTTGAGTAATTGTTCATTATGATAATACATTACAGTTGTGATCAAAGCAACAACTTTTAAGATTTTTGAATAAGATTTTGAAAATCCATAAAGGAGAAAAACATGTAAAAGCCCAGCTGCTGTGGGGGAGGAAGGCAGAAGATTGTGTCACACCTCCACACTGCGACGAGCGGATGTGCTTTACATTTCTCTCATACTTTCTCACTTCCCTCCTCTACTTACCGAACTAGGCTTATTCAGGCAGATGCCAAATTACTTCGCCCGTGTGTCTGATCGTCACAAGTAAATACAGACTTTAATAAATGTGTTTGAGGGCATCCGCTTCAGCAGATTATTATAAATACCAAATTGTTTCTGGAGTTTAAAGGATTTCGTCTTCTGTCTTCAAAAGCGGCATCCAGCATCGTCCGTTTAGAGATCGAAAAGACTGACAAGAAAGGTAATTTTCTTTTTCTTTGTCTTGATTTGTTTCCATTTATTTGATTTGAAAATGTAATTAATACTTCATAATGATGGCAAAAACCGACAATATTTTTCAGACATTTAAACTATTAAGAAAGTGAAGACTTCAGGGTGTTCCTCTCATTGGAACAAAGAAAATTAGTTGTATGTGAATTAAAGCACACTTATAATAAATATTGTACATTCCCTATAAAACCAGCATTGTACATGAAGTAAAAAGAGTTAAATCAGTTGCACTCAGTGTTAGTGCCCTGTTTTATGACTTTATTAATTCATTAATTTGTATTTATTTCTTAGGAAAATGAATTGCTCTGCCACTGGACTTAAAATAAGACTACTTTCGACTACTTTCTGAGAGATAAATTCAAGAGTTGAATTGTGGAAAAATACTCTGATTAAATTGTCCCATTTACGGTTATGGTGGTCTTTCCATCTATGTGTCATGGCAGATGGTTTTGAGGTTGTAACGTCTAACTGCTACCTAAATTAATTCTTCAACGTGTATGCAACAGAGAAGTCAAAAGAAACCATCAGCAGTATTTTAGCGATCAATATTAAATGAACCAACAAGATTTCTATCTTCCCGCATCTAAGACTATAACAGAGACATAATTCTCCACGATCAGATGTCCGTTAATGGGCAAACTGCAGAATCAGGACTGGTTATGAGGGAGATTCATTACAGGGAATGGAGCCTGTAAGGCTATAAATATAAGCTTGGTAATACAGAGAGCATGAATATGTTGTTAGTAAGCTCCTGTTAAACTCTTCAAATTATAACTTGAACTCTGGGTCACACCCAATCACATAAATCTTTACTTCCGTATTTAATCAATACTATATTGTACGTGACGTTGACCTTTCTCTGTAAATAGAAAATGGTGCTGCCATAAAGACAAAATGTAATCTTCAAATACAATACTCTAGCGATTGACTATCTTTTTTAGTGTGTAAGCACTTGCTCTTTATTTGTCATGTTTAAACATGTTCTATGAAGAGCCACACTGCTGTCGTTTTGTACGCCATGTTGCATGATGTATGAGAAGAAACTGTAAACTGTTCTAGATTAAGGTTTGATTTAAATTAAAAATTAGCTAAGGTTTTTCAGTTTCTCTATTTTTAAGTAAGACAAACTTTTGCTAACTGTACTCTTATGATCGTAACATGTCCTCTCTTCATCAGTAGACATCCGTCCTCAACTCTGAGAGGTTCAACCTGTTTGGAAAGGATGACAGCCGTCATTAGAGAGAAGGACCGACATCCGACCTCGCTGCAGAAACACAGCAGAAGTGATACGAGAGAAGATGGACTAAAGATCTGAGACGGCGTGTGGGAAGCTGATTTTAAACCTGTTCCATATGAACAACGTTAAAACGCTCTGAAAAGAGAGACATTATAGTTCAGTTCAACAAACTGAATGACCGCTGAAATCTTCAGAAATTGAGTTACCATATGCCAGGGCTACAAATCACCTGCTATGAAAACTACCACTTGAACACAGAAGTACGCTGCCTTTGTCTACAACGTAAACGTGTTACAGAGAAACCATCCCTAAGACTTTCCACATAACCACAAATATCCAAAGGAGTGAGACCGTCGGCGGCAGCCATGAACGAGACCGAAGAGATGGCGCTGAAGTGCGTCCTGGTCGGGGACAGTGCCGTGGGCAAGACAGCGCTGCTGGTCCGCTTCACCTCAGAAACCTTCCCAGACAACTACCAGCCCACAGTGTTTGAAAACACAGGGGTGGAGGTGTACACGGACGGGGTTCAGATCAACCTGGGGCTGTGGGACACGGCGGGCAATGACAACTTTAGACAAATCCGACCGAGATCCTACCACCAGGCTGACGTTGTGCTAATCTGCTACTCTGTGGCCAACCCTAACTCTCTGGCCAGCGTCCAGCACAAGTGGATTGCTGAGGTTCGAGAGAACTTGCCAAGGGTGCCGGTGCTGGTTGTTGCAACCCAGACAGATCTGAGGGAGATGGGGCAGTACCGGGGGAACTGCATCTCAGCAGCGGAGGGGAGACGTGTGGCTCATGAGGTCCACGCTAAAGGCTACCTGGAGTGCTCCTCCTTAAGTAACCGTGGTGTGCAGCAAGTTTTTGAGCATGCAGTGCGAACAGCCATTAACCAGGCTAGGAAACAGGCCAGACGACGGATGTTCAGCCTCAACCAGTGCAGGGTCTTTTGACCTTTGAACTTGACTCAGCCTTCATGAGAGGACATGTTTTAATAAGGGTCCTAGTGTGCTGTTCAAACTCAGTGAGAATCCATTAAGGTACAAGAACCCAAAGCTGTATTTTTTTAATGTTAGGTAGGGTTTTTCTACACTGATGGGTCTCCTGCGCCCTCCAAAGCACTTCTCTAAACTCAAAGAATAAAAATGAAAATACTTTGATTTAGTCATGCGTGTACTCAAATTAAAGTTCTACTTTTGTTTGATTCAGGGAGACGCGAAAAAAATACTTCATCTTCAATTCCTCTGAACTGTTTGTGAATGTACCACAGCACATCTCAGGGGTATTTCAAATGTGGTATCAGAATTGTTTTGTGTTTAACAAATACTCCATTGTTCAGGGCAAGGCACACTTAAATGCTTAAATTACAGTTATAATAGATTTAATCTTGACACAGCATTGTTTTTTCTTAACATCTCAGTTTGGGATTTGATTGGCAAATGTAATTATTATCTGGGAATGAATGTGGAGATAATAAATGATTTCACTGCCACAAATAAAATGAGTTATACAAGTATACAGTTGCATGGATCTTTTACAGATGTTTCAAGAACTAGGAAAATAATGTTCTCAGGCTCCAAAAATATAATTATCAAGTCAGGAAATAATTTTGAGTGCATATTGAATTTTGTCAGCACCTATTCAAACGCCTCAGAGTATGAATAAGACAATTTGAGCTACATTAGGATATACTGTATATGTAAAGCTTATTCTCAAATGACATTTCACTAGATGTGACCAGGCAATACTCTGTCAGTAGCTCAATGCAGGCTATTTTTTTCTAAAGGTTATTTCTTAATTTTAATTTAATTTAAATATACCTGTTTATGTATTGTTAGAACGTATACCCGTTGCAGTGAAATACAATGTGACTGAACACATTTCAGTCATTAAAAAGCAAGAAACCTTAACACATTGATTAAATGGTTGTTTTGATTCATACAAGATATCATTTGTAAGTTTCTTTTATACGAGTAGAGAATCCCAACTTTTAGAAATTCTACAATAAAGTGAAGAAACATTAAACATCAGCATTATCGGACTTCTTGACACTGATCATTGTGCTAAATAACGGCTTTTGTGATTTTATTTGTAAAACTGTTAAAAAAAAGAAGACATGACCTTCTACTTATGTTTCTTGCAAACTTGTCCATACATTAAAGCTAAGGATTCAACACATTGACACGGCATTGTGTAATTTCTGCAAATTTTGTTCGTAACAAAAAATGCTTTCGGAAATCATCAAGTATTTGTAATTCCGCCTTGGTTTTTACCTTCCTATCTTTTAGCGAGAGTTTGCGTTGGATTTGAATATGTGTGCATTCATCATCAATGCGCCCTTTTATGCCTTAACTCCTATAAACTCAGTAAGAATTTATAAAGGATAATTTATACATTTTTATGGAAACAAGTTCTCTTCTTAAAAGAGCATTGTGCCCATGTGTCTCATGTACATACTTATGTTACAGGTTTTGTATGTTTTGCATATCACATCTTAAATCAAACATATCGTGTGAAGTGTATTAAGCGTTTGCCAAATCTATGTATGAAATCTGTATTATAATACACAGATGAAATGCATTAAAAAATTATTTAGATTAGAACATTTAAGTAGCGTCTTATTCCTATTTTTCTTTATTAAATCAAATTTTTGGATTTGAATAGATTATCAAAAGCTTTTTCTTGAATGATAATTAGTAAAACATGTTGTTTGGAAAGCAATAAAACAATAGACTTGTGTTCTTTATGAATGTATTACAACACTCATACATGACTTCAAATCTTATCCAAGTGAAGTCAGTTTTTAATTTTTATATTTATTTATTATATGACATGGTTTCTATATCACATGTCAGTAAATGTGATATGAGCCTCTGTGTGTGTTTGTAGCTTTGAATGTAAGAAGATGACTTGAGGAAATAAAAACTATTCAGAGCTTAAAGATGTATTGTAGCTGCATTATAGAGACAGCGAACAGTCGACCAGGAACAACCAGGAAAAAGTTTAGACAAGCTATTCCTCCCCCTCATGCTTCTCTCCCGCTCTTTCTCTTCATTTCTTTGTCTTATGTGGTGTTAAAAGGCGGCTGAGAACGAGAGATAAAATACAGGCTTTTCAAGGATACGCCGAAAAACACTTTACCACATCCCAACAAAGACACACACACAAACTTCTTTAATGTTACAACTGGTAAAAGAGAAACTTGTGTTTTTCTTGTACATTTCATTAAGGGATCAATACAGTGTAATCTTAACGTAGCCTATAACAAAACATGATGGGTTGACTATATTTCACATTATAAATCTGAATCTGAATCCTCAAAGTAACGAAAATGATCAAATACATGTTGTGAAGTAAAAAGTACAATATTGATTAGAAATATTTAGTGGCAAAAAATGGAAATACTCATGTTAAGTACGAGGACCTTGAAAATGTATAAGTACGGGCTGCCATATAGCTCACCTGGTAGAGCTGGTGGCCCATGTATAGGGACTCAGTTCCCATGCGGAGAACCCAGGTTTGAATCCGGCCTGGGACCATGTACGCATGTCATCCCCTCTATCTCCCCCTTTCAACACTGTCATCTCAAGGTTAATCTGGCCCTAAAAATATTTTTTAAAAGAAAATGTACAAGTACTTGTGTAAATGTACTCATTTAACGTCCACCACCCTGACTATGTGTAAATGAATTCCCAAAACATCTATCTTAATAAATGTACCTCATATAATCCAAAAATATGGTCACATACTGTCCGTAATACGGTTTGTCTTTTTGTGTTTCAAGTAATAAAGAGAAAAAACTGTTTAGCATGTTAGTCGGCCAGCAATGGCCTAATCTTTCATCTGTCACTGTGCTCTCCCACAACTACCACAACGTCTTAACCCACTTACTGTCTACACACACACACACACACACACACACACACACACACACACACACACACACACACACACACACACACACACACACACACACACACACACACACACACACTGGCATACTTCTCAATCCCTTTTGATATGTTATCAAGGAGCCTTTTTCACGGCAGACATTTTGACTAACTTTTAACTAAAAGTAAGTTTGGTAATGGCTGCATTTCATTTAGGTGTTGTTATTCCACAATCCTTATATTGTACACAAATAAAATAACAAATAATTCAGCTAATTTATATAAACTCAAGTTGTAGAATAGGAAGATAACTAGGGAACATTCACTTAACTAAGGTACTTGCTTGTACTTTTCTTGAGTATTGAACTTTATGGCTAAAGAAAAACATATTGTAGTTTTTTAGTCTTTTAAATGTATTTTGAACTTAGTTACTGTAAAGATTCAGATTAAAGATACTACATACAATGAATTATATACATTACATTGTGATATAAAGTAGATCAAGTAAATCATATTAGCTTCCCCTTTATCAGCTGCAAAATAAAATGTATGTTCAATTTGATCAATGTTGATCAAAAATTATAATGTAATAATGTAATCTACATGTTTCTAATATTATAGATTCTGTTTAATTAATGCTTTTATGTTTTGTACTCGTATTGCTATTTTCACCTAAGTCAACTAACTGAGTACCCAGCACCAGTTGTGAAGAACCTGGTATAATGTTTTGTTAAATATTATACAAGTTAAATATATACAGCTTTGCGACGCAGACTATGCTTGTTAGTAGGATTAGTTAGTGTTGCTTTGGATTTGTTGACTATAAGAACATTACAGAATATCACCAGAATTGATCACCCTACTTAAGATGACTACAGTATTGTAAACCTCAAATGATGTCTACGTCCACAGGCAGGCATTGTTCACTAGACAGTGCTACCCCACTGTTTTGCTAATTCAGTTGGTATCTGTCTCTACCTCAAAGAGACAGTAAGTCTCATCCTCTCCTCTGAAGCTCCCCCACTCTCTCTCTCTCTCTCTCTCACACACACACACACACACACACACACACACACACACACACACACACACACACACACACACACACACACACACACACACACACACACACACACACACACAGGAAACACCTGTCCTATACAAGCTCAGTACCACCGAAAACCACATTAACACATCACATCACCATACACAGTAACTGCACAATAATATAATAGAACAATTGTCGGTGACATTTCTTACTTTAAGCTGAAAGGACCCTGATTCAATTGGAATTATGAAGTAAAAACAAAAATACTTTAACAGAAAAGCTGAATATTTAGTTTTTTAGAACAACTGCGTTGCAAGCAATAATAAATGATGTGTCATTGGCAGTGGCGGCACCAGGGTATGGCTGGGGTAGGCTACAGCCATACCAAAAAATGGCTTAGCCCCACCATGAAAAATTATGTTAAATTAAATAATAAGCAAAATGCTAAATGTTGAGAACACGGCTTGCGAAAATATACGGGTCGTGTCCACAACACACAAACTGATCCTGCTGTTACACGTGTACATTACTGATGTAATATGGATTAGACCATTCGGGCTTATGCTAGAAGAGGGGTGCAAGGAATAGTCTAAGTAGTGGGGGAGTTTTATACACTAAAGGTGTGGAAATTCTCTGGCGTTATAATATCAGCGCGGCCGCGGTCAGATCATAATGCCTCCGAATGCAATTTGAATAGAGTCAGACCTACAGCCAATCAGAGCAACGAAACGTTGGGTCTGCGTCATGCATTACTGATGAGATCAGTCGGAACCGCCATTCAGATAGTACGCGTTGAATATCCAATGGGGAATTGGATCTTCAACGCGTACTATCATACGTCACGTTCACAGTGATCCCTTTTTATTTACTACAACACAAGTGTGCCGTTTTATTTCATACAGTTCCATTTTGATTGAGACAGGGAAATAATCTAAACCTCAAGTGTGGCGTTTCACTGTCAAGGGGGGCGATATAGCGTGTATGTAATTACATTGCAAATACTGACTTGAGCCCCACCACTGTATGGGTTAGCCCTACCATAGATTACCCAACAAAAATACTGGTCATTGGTGGTTTCCAAAACGAGGGGTTACGTATGGTAACCCTTGTTATATAAGCACAGGCGGAGCCCTCTACTGGACTCTATGGGTACTCCCCTTGATCATATCATGCAAACATTCATCCACTGAGACTTCTATAGACGTAGCCCGCCGGGCGGGCCTGCTAGAATGCGCACGCATCTCACCGCATAATAGGAGGCTCCGCCTTATATAACAAGGGTTACCATACGTAACCCTTCGTTATATCTCTCACAGGCTCCGCCCTCTACTGGACTCTATGGGTACAGTGGGCGACAACAACACTGTTCCATCTCACTGTCTCTGACCGGCTTTCTGGTTAGCAGCCGCTGAGCCTCACTCACCTCTCCCTTGGTCGTAACCGTGGAGAAGTTGGGGCTGCGGCTGACAGAGCACACTCTGACACGCTTACCTCGTGAAGGTGTGCTGGGAAAACAGCGCTGAGGGCTCCCACCCTCCGCCCATAGGCGGACGGAGATAGTCCTCAGTCCCGTATGGGCTCACTAAGCACCACCTCTCCCGAGTCCCTAAGGAGCACGGGGAGAGCGCAAGTGCCCCATGTCCCACACTCAGACACGCTCACCTCGTGAAGAGCGTGTATGGACTATGACGTGGAGGGCTCCCCCTCCTGCCCTAAAGCAGGGGGAAAGAGTCCTCCAGCCCCTATGGGCCCAGTGTGCGCCACGTCCCCCGGGACCCGGGGGCCGGGGAAACGTAAGTGCATTACGCCCGGGGAGGGGGTCAGATGCCCACTGACCCACAGCCCCCCTCCCTCCTCACCAGTCCTGTGTTGCCACAGCAAGCACAGACGATGAAAAGGAGCCAGACATGTTCAAGAGATAAAACTTTATGAAGGGGCCTGGCATTGACCAAGACGCCGCCGTTCATATGTCCTCCACACTCCCGCCGTTAAATAAGGCTGTTGACACAGCCACAGCTCGTGTAGAGTGTGCACGGACCCCCGTGGGTGTCCCTGCCAGTGCGTCTAAGTGCAGCCGTGCGCTCCACATAATATGGTAGCGCACGCACCGGGCAGAGGAGGTGCAATTTAGCCTCCCTAGCCCCACTATGGGGTGGAAGATTAAAGCCCCCCAACTGAATAGCCCTCGACCTGAACACACTCCTTGGGCTCTTGGGCACAAAGGAGGGGTTCGGTCTGAGTGTCGCCCCGCTCTGGTCACCCCGGATTAACAAGCAACTCGGGTGCACCGATAGAGTGGTTAACTCGGACACTCCCTTGGCTGACGTTAAGGCAAGTAGCAATGCTGTCTTCCACGACAGTGCTTTCAGGGAGGAGAGCTCCAGAGGCTCAAATGGTTCTGAGACCAGAGCCTCGAGCACCAGCGGCAGGTCCCACTGCAGGGCGGAGGCGTGCACTACTGGGCGCAGCCTCCTGACCCCCCGTAAAAACCGCAACATTAGTGGCTGACTAAAGGCTGACGAGATGGCTGCTGCATACACTTTCACTGTGGAATGAGCAAGCCCTCTGTCCACCAATAACTGTAAGTAAGACAAAATAGATCCCAATTCACAAGATAGGGGCTCTATTTTCCACTCCTCACACCATCGCTGGAATCCCAGCCACTTCGGCCTGTAACAGGCTGTGGTGGATCCCGCTCTAGCTGCCTGGATAGACTGAATAACACTATCAGACAATCCACCCTGTCTTAGCCTGTCCCTCTCAGGAGCCAAGGCTGGAGAGGTTGGCCCAGAGTGGGTAACGCACCCTGTGCCAGGCTTTCATCCAGGGGTGGCACACCAGGACACTCCGTGTCCGAGTGGTCCTGCACCCTGAGGATTCCAGCCCATGTTGCCACTGGAGCCTTCGTCCTAAGTGGCTTTCGCCACGTCGCCTCCACACACCGCCAGATGTCTGGCAGGGGGTGCGAAACAAAGTCATCACCGCCGGGAAGTCCTGCCGCGCAGATCTGTGCTGCTGGCCTTCCTGGCGGTCACCGGAAGTGTCAGACAACGAGGTGTCGTCGTCGTCCCTCTCCCCGACGAGCGGGCCCATCCGGTCTGCTGGCATGGCGAACACGAAAGGCACTCCCTCATCGTGTTCCTCCATATCCACCACCTCGAGTTCTGGGTCCTCCGCCGGCGAGACATGACACTCCTCGAATTGCTCCAGCCGCTGGCGGCGGCTGAGCCGAGGGATCAGACGGCAGGCGTTGCAGGCCGGAAGTGGGCCCAGGTTGGCCGCTGCGTGGTCGGACCCCAGGCACTCAATACAGCGGCGGTGGAGGTCGGCGCCTGCAATAATGCCCAGGCACGAAGGGCAGGGTCGCTGTTCTAATAATGGTGAGTCAATTTGTTTCTCTCTTTCCGTCTCTCTTCACTCAGTTGTTCTCTTGCTTGCTGAAGAGAAAGGGATGACAGTCAGGAGGCGAGGCCTATTTTTATGCGGTGAGATGGTGAGATGCGCGAGCATTCATGTAGGCCCGCCCCGGGGCCGGCTACATCTATAGAAGTCTCAGTGGATGAATGCTTGCATGATATGATCAAGGGGAGTACCCATAGAGTTCAGTAGAGGGTGGAGCCTGTGAGAGATATAACAAGAATATATGCAGAAAACTAGAAATGTTATGATCACACCCAAATCAGGTGTCAAAATAATAGTATTGAGAATGATCTCTGGTCTCTCAATTTCTGAACTAATGTGCAGCATTTTGGGATATTTTAGAAAAACTTTCTGCATAAAGACTATATTTTAAACTTTATATACAACATAATCCCTAAAAACTCACTTCAAATTACATTTACAACAGCACACACACACACACACACACATGCACACAATACTCAAAACACAGATCAATCCAGAATGGGACCTGCTCATTCAAAGACAAAAAAGTATAACACACAAACAAGGTTTTAAGCATAAAAATGAAGCAGGATAAAAATCTATTTCCATAGTATTCCTTTATGATGGACACATAACATTGTTAACAACATCAAAAAGGTGCAACTACATTTTGAGGAGCTCTAAATAAAAAAACAGAAAAATAGTTTGTCTCTGTTTTTCGTGTGCTGGTCTTAAACAGCCTACAGATGTAGAGGATGCCATCTTATCACTGCATCTAGTATACAGCTTTACTCTTTTTTATACATATGATCTTAATCCTGAAACCTGATCCTTGATCTGCATCGTGTTCGTTGCCATGTAGCGTGAATGACATGTGTCATGACATGTTTGTTTGTGTGTGTTTGTTTGTTTGTCTTGAAAGACCTGACCAAAGTTAAGAAAGTGTTGCAGTACTGAATGTGTGAGTGACAGAAGTCATTAGCTGTGTGTGTGTGTGTGTGTGTGTGTGTGTGTGTCCCGGATCACCGCTGTCTACTATTGATCCACACGGCAGTGTGAGGCATGTGTGTGTGTGTGTGTGTGTGTGTGTGTACTACAGCAGGTTGTGGTCATGTACACAAGTATAGGGCTGCAGTATCACATTTCACACAGTGCCTGTGTGCTATGTGATACTGCACCTGTGTGTGTGTGTGTGTGTGTGTGTGTGTGTGTGTGTGTGTGTGTGTGTGTGTGTGTGTGTGTGATAGCCCCAGGTCCTGTTCCGGAGCAGCGATCACACACAAAGAGACAGTGACAGAGAGGAAAACTGAAACTAACAACTAGCGAAGCATTCAGAGCTTCTGACAGGATGTGAGATTTGGAGAGTTTCTCTGTGGTCTCGCTCAGTGTCAGCATGGGAGAATGAAGTTCAGAATAAAGTGACGCTCTGGATTTGGACCTGGGCTGTCTCCGAGACTACTTTGCTGAATAATTGATCCATCGGATTGTGACTAGTTGAAAATGAGGAAGACAGCGCTGATGCTCTGGATCAGCCTTTTGGTACAAGGTCAGTTCTGCATGTGTGTTTGATGATAATATCTGACCAATATCATAAAGTCAATTCTGACCTCTAATACTCTTGGATCTGCAATTTCCTGACATTTCTCTATTGTGACCTCTGTTGCCCTCATCTTCTGCTCTCCTCTTGCCCTTCAGTGTCCCACGGGGCTCAGGGTCAATATGCCCGCAAACTACTGACTGACCTGATGGAGGACTACTCCAATGCTCTGAGGCCGGTGGAAGACACGGACGCAGCCCTCAATGTCTCCCTGCAGATCACTCTCTCACAGATCAAAGATATGGTGAGTAGAGAGCACACTCAAGTACGTAGGCTATCATTAAATGTGCACCCCAGCAACATATACAGCCATTTAAACAACAACAATCATTTCTTAAAATGGGTCTTTAACTTGTTCCATTGTGGTGTGCAATTTCACATTATATTTGACTAGAAAACCCCTTTTGAGATTAAATTGCTTCCTTACAAGAGTGTCCTTGCCAAATCAGCAGCAGCAAATTAAATCAGACACACAGATACAAACAACAGATACAAACAATTACATTTCAGGTCCCAGCAAGAGTATACCAAAAAGTAAGTCTCAGGTTGTAATATTCTAGATCAAACAAGATAAAAAGATCTATCAAATCATCTACAACATGTTAAAGTCTTTAAAAATCGTTAAAGGCACCAAATAAGTCTGTGACAAATATCAAGCAGCAGGAGCAGCATACCTATATCTGTTTTCCCATTCTAATATGGACATTGGGTAAAGATACAGGAGTACAAATATTTTCAATATCAAATGCAGAGCTGAGACAGTAGCTTCCATATAGTTACGATGTTCATAAATATAAAGGTATCAAGTTCAAGATTGCCTTATAAATAAGGACATCCCATTCATATAAATAGAAGAATGTGTACTTTCTGGTTCCAAAACTTCTTTATAGCTGTAGTACATATACACTGACTGATATATTTAAGTACAAGACCCAGTTTATATAAAGACCCCAAATGTATATTGTCTCTTTTGAAACTTCTGTGTATTTGATGATTTGTTAACACTAGAGCCTGAGTTGTTCGGCTGGGTTTAACTGTGGTTGCTTCAGAGTTTAAGAGGATGAATAAATAAATGATTAATGGGAATATCAGAGATCAAGATATGTTGTTGTCATTTATAGTTTTCTATCCTGTTTTCGAATCATAGAGACAACACCCATATACCCACATTTATACTACAAGTTAGTTCTGATCAACTTAAAGGTGGGGTAGGTAAGTTTGAGAAACCGGCTCGAGATACACTTTTTGTTATATTCCATGGAATGCTCTTAACATCCCGATAGCAATGAATATATTAAGTGCTTTGACAAAAAATCCATAAAAAGATTTCATCTGTGGAAGCCTACTGTAAAAAGCACGACCAATCATTTTAGCCGGCCCGGCGTGTGTGTTGGAGGAGGGGCTCTGTAAGGAAGTCTGAAGGAAGGGGCAGATTTGTTTCGGTTGTGTACTTTCACAACCGAAACAAATCTTACTCGAGCTGGTTTCTCCAAAAATGAGAATTAATAATATAATAATAATTTTGGAGAAAAGCTATAATTTGAAAGTACACAACTGAAACAAATCTGCCCCTTCCTTCAGACTTCCTTACAGAGCCCCTCCTCCAACACACACGAACGTGCAGATGACCAATGAGGGCACGAGATAAGTTTGTGCACAGATGGAAGTCTGACAGGCAGGTAGGCCATCCAGTTATCTGCCGCGGGCCGGGGCAGATAATTGGACTTGCTTTTTACAGCGCCACGGCTTCCACAGATTAAATATTTGTATATATTTATTGTCAAAGCATTTAATTTATTCATTGCTATCAGGATGTTAAGAGCATTCCATGGAATATAACAAAAAGTGTTTCTGAAGTGAATTACCAACATACCTTTAAATGAAATATGTGAAATAATAAATAAAAATAAACAGATGTCATGAATAACTATTTGAACTCGTTTTTATACTTCACCAATTTAACTTTTAACAGCAGGGCTGTTGCAGGGTGGCAGTCTGTCTGTGATAAGAAGGCTGCAAAAAGATCAAACACAAGAACTCAAAATGATTTAGTATTCCAGCAGAATGTATCAAAGATATACGAAGACTGACACAACTTTGATAAGAAGTATACATTTTAATTTAAGTTAAGTTATTAGACTGCTACAGTATAACCAATGCAACAAGTCTTCAAATTATACTCCATTGTCTCAAGACTGCGATTCATAAAGTAGGCGAAAGAAAGATGGCAAAAAACTGAAGTAATTCAGCAGAGGTCATCTAAAAACATTGGGTTTCAGACTTAAGTCATGCACCTCTAAAGTGTGTTTTGTTAACATGGTGTGTTTCCACAGCCCTAGTTTGTAACTCAAGCTTTCAGTTACATATCTGCATTCCCTGTTACTGAGCTGAGATACAAGGGTGTTGTCACTTGATCAGTCTTTGACTATGCTCCTTCAGAGAGAAGGAGACGGTTTTCACAATCCTCCCTGCGACTAATTAATTGACTTTGACATGTGAATCCATGGAGTGTTCCTCATGGATAAGAGCTGGAAACTAATCTATTTGCAAATGTGTGTGTTCATACTGTTTGTATTAACAGTACTGCCTTCAGTCTTGTTTTCCTGAGACTACTGGAGTCCAGTGTTGAATATTAAGCAATACTGGATTATTGCTTACACTTAACTTTAACCTATGTGCAGTACCCTTCTATACATTTTATGTATTTTGTCAATCACACACAATTCCTCTTTTTCATATATGTTTAGATAGCTTAATTGATATTTACTTACATATCTAATTTTCCTTTCCTTTTTGCATTTGTGCAAAGTGATGGATTATTTTGTAACTTACTTTTCAATTGTTATACTTTATCTATGTCTTTCTTTCTAATGTTACATGGTATTGTAATGTATGTCTTACTTTATCTTTTAATTCTGACCTTTCCTACACATTTAATTGTATGGTTTAAACTTTGATTACTTGAATATGTCCAATAAAGTAAGAATTGGCAGCATCCAGTCTGTAAAAATCTTTTTTTCAAGGAAAATCCCTTTGCAGTGTTACCCCTCTCTCTTTCAAAATGTTTTTATATGTGTGGGTAGGATGAGAGGAACCAGGTGTTAACCACATACCTGTGGATCAGGCTGGTGTGGCATGACGCCTACCTGAAGTGGGACAAGGAGGACTATGATGACCTTGAGATGATAAACATACCCAGCGATCTGGTTTGGAAGCCGGACATCGTCCTCTACAACAAGTCAGTAAAGATAAATGTTGTTGTGCACTCATAATGCAGATTTATTTATATCTGACTACATTGTCTCTGTATGTCTGTGTAGGGCAGATGAGGAGTCAAGTGCATCAAGCACTAATGTAAAGCTGCGATATAACGGAGAGATCATCTGGGACTCTCCTGCAATCACAAAGAGCACATGTGTGGTGGACGTCTCCTACTTCCCCTTCGACTGGCAGCAGTGCAAACTCACCTTCGGCTCCTGGACCTACAATGGCAACCAGGTGAGTTATTATTATTATAGTTGTTATTATTTCGAGTTAAAGAACGTCTTTTATTAAGAATGATCTAAATGCATACAAATTATGATTCAACTCGATGATGACATGACTATTCTTTTTATCGATTTAGGATATTCAACATTTTAAGTAGCAAAAAGGAAAATCGGATGATTTTTTTGTGGGATTTGATCTGATGTATCAGTTTTCTGATACATCAGAAGAAAATAGTTTATACGATAGTGTGTACCGACCATGTACCATCCTTTTGCTCTAGACTGTTATTGGCTCCAGTTCCTCTGACCTTGACAAAGTTAGATACATTAAGAGTGAATAACCTCTTGTTTTTAAACTATATTACTAAGGGGTCATGGTTGTTAGTTACCTTCTCTACATGTACATAATATTAGCGCTTATATCCACAATGTGTGTCCTCTACGCAGGTGGACATCAGTTTGGGGATGGACAGCGGTGACCTGTCTGACTTTGTGGAGAACGTGGAGTGGGAGTGTCACGGCATGCCGGCAGTGAGGAACGTCATGATGTACGGCTGCTGCTCCGACCCCTACACAGATATCACATACACTCTACTCCTGAAGCGCCGCTCCTCTTTCTACATCTTCAACCTGCTCCTGCCCTGCTTCCTCATCTCCTTCCTGGCCCCGCTGGGCTTCTACCTGCCGGCGGACTCGGGGGAGAAGGTTTCCCTCGGGGTGACGGTGCTGCTGGCGCTCACTGTGTTCCAGTTGTTGGTGGCTGAAAGCATGCCACCTGCAGAGAGCATGCCCTATATAGGTGTGAATTATATACTCTCTTCATTTCATTATATATTATTTATTAATATAGAAGATTAAATCTTTTTTTTTTTAAGTCAATATTGATATAATATTTTTATATATTATTACCAAGTCACAAATTACTTAATGTCCTATTATTTGGACTTTATATCTCATTATTTTTTGCATTGTAAGTATACATTTTGTCTTAGTGTCTCATAATTCTTACTTTGTATCTTATAATTATGACTGAGTAAGTCACACTTTTGACTTATCATGTTGTAATTTCTGCTAAATATTGCATGATGTTGCATTGTCATGAGAACAACATTTTCTTTTTTTTATCCTTTTTCTTTTCCTGGTGGAAATGGGCTTCTATGTAAAACTCAATTATGCAATTTTGAATTTGCTGTTAATTAGACTGATATATCTATGTTTAAAGATGAGACAACAGATTTCCATAGCATGTCTTTCCAGATAATTGCTGATGAAATAAGCAAGCTGAATGTCATTGTTTAACCTGGTCTGCAAATAAGGTAATTTATCTGTTTTGTATGGGTTGCATTTCCACTTCATAAATGTTTCCTTTCTTTGTCCTCTCCTCTAGGAAAGTACTACATCGCCACCATGACTATGATCACAGCCTCCACCTCTCTCACCATCTTCATCATGAACATTCATTTCTGTGGTGCTGAGGCCAAGCCTGTTCCTCACTGGGCAAAGGTGCTCATCATAGACTACATGTCCAAAATCTTCTTTGTGTACGAGGTGGGGGAGAACTGCACAAGTGAGAGGACCCCGCTGTACCCTGAGGAGCCCGCCAGCGATGACCATCTCCATGACTACCATCACGACAACGATCAGCACCAGTACAGCAACGGCCACGCCATGCCTCACCCCAACAAGCATCACAAAGTACAAGCGAACGGCAACGCCAACAATAGCCGTCACCATTATAACAACCACAACAACCATACATCCGGACTGGAGAGGGACGAGGAGAAGACACCACAGCGCTACCACCACATCAGGAGGGACGAGCTGGACTACCAGGCTTCTCCTCGTCCACAAAACCTCCAGCAGCTGAACGGAGGGCTGAAGGAGCAGCTCCTCTATCCCCCAGAGAAAGTCCCGGCCTGCCCCTGCTGCTGCCCCTGCCTCCAACATAAACAGGTGCTTCTCCATTTCCTGTCTTATCTGATTACTCCTCTTCTTCTAAAGTTTCTTTAATTGCTTTCTCTTATCTGTTTCATCATCAGTTGGTGAAGAACATCCAGTACATCGCCAACTGCTTCCGCGAGCAGAGAGCTACTTGTGTCAAGGCTGCAGAGTGGAAGAAAGTCGCCAAGGTGATGGATAGGTTTTTCATGTGGATCTTCTTCGTCATGGTCTTCCTTATGAGCATCCTCATCATCGCCAAGGCATCCTGACAGCCTACTTCCTCATCATCCTTTTTCCGCCCTTACAACATTTATCCCACATCACTGTTGTACCGCAGTGTTCCTCGAGAGGCACCTCATTTTTACTTGAATTCAACAAATCAGAACTGTTTTATATGTGTGTCAGCATTGTGAGTATGTGTGTATGAGGGTCATTGTGGTTTTTGCCTTTGACTTAATGAAGACAAGGTCATTGCAAACAAATCATCCATTTAACCACACGAGCACACAAACACAGAAATTCATCAAAGCCTCTCGGATAGTTAACCTCAGGTGTGCGTGCATGTGTGACGGAGCAGTGGAGCGGTAAGACGATCCAGGCCTCGCTTTGAACATGCCTGGACTCTTTATTATGGATGAGCTAACAGCCAGACCCTATAGGCATTGCATTACTTACACTACGTTTTAGGCAACCACATGATGCTGTTTTCCATAGTCAGTTACAATGAGAGCACCAGCAGATTAAAGTAATACTTTACACACAACATTTGCATTTGTATATCAATTTCTCAAAAAGTTGATTTCATGAAGAAAACATATTTCTTGCATGCCACCGCAGTGAAAGAATCATCAAAAACATGAAGAAGTCTTGATGGATTGAAGTAAAGGGGAACTGCGTTCAACTACTACAAAACCATCTCATGTACTGTAATCCAAGTCTCATTTATCCAGTCGTACACTCACTACTTCCCAAGCACATACATTTTTTGTTTACATTTCATTTTAATCAGTCTCACACTAGCACAAATGCATGTGTTTTTTGGTTGAAATATTATTTTAAACACTAAAAAAATCTACCTTACGTATGATCAAAATGGGGGCAATCTTCCTCTCCGTTCTTGATCTTCATGGAATTGTTTGCAGGGTTATGACAATAGTCTTTTATGTTTTTGTTGTTGTTTAGAAATAAAAAAATTGGTTTACCTAAGTTGTGAATATTTGAGGTTGAGAATTGGAGAGAATGTTTACCTTTCTTATTCTACAAAGAGCCCTTACTCATTTTAATGTGATATTCAGATCTTAAACCCTACCTCCAGAGTGTGAACGGTGAATAATCTGTACCTTTTGAATAATTTATGCTTTGCTCATTGGTCCATTAAAACATAAAACTTTGATATAAAGTATGGCTCCACTTCCTGTACCAGCGGTATGCATTACGCTACAAAACAAATTTGTTATGCATACATTTTCCAGACCTGCATTTGAGCATAAAATATCTTTTCATTGTTTCTTTCTTTTTCTTCAAAAAAGTATTAACTAAATTAAATTCGTGCAGATCAAAACATGAGCAGGAAGGTGAGAATGGGCAGATATATATATTTCAGGTAAAGTGAAAGGTACATAATCAATGCAGTCATTACATCCAAGATTGAGGGGAACTCACACACACACACACACACTGAAAACTAATTGTTAAGTAACATTTTAACAATGAATTAATAGTTGGAAGAAATTCTTTCGATCAAAACATTAAATCAGTAACACATTTGTTTCTTCACAAAACGTTTTATTAAAGATTTGAATGTGATGGATATAACAAACAAGAAGGCCAAATAAGAGCTGTAGTGATGATGTAATATAATACAAACATGTTTAGTGCCTTGTGTAGACAAATCAAGTAAAATAAACATCTTAGTGCTTAACATTGTGAGATTATGATTTGAATTGTAATTCTCTTATAAAGTCATAAACTGTTCACCAGACTCAAACTAAAGTAAATTATTATCTCTAAATAGGTGTTTTCATTTAACCCTCCTGTGATCTTTGGGTCAAATCTGACCGATTTACTACTTTCATCGTAACATCAATCATTACATTGGATTTCTTTTTTTTGCAAGACAAAGACATTCATTATAACTGCATCTTTATTATGCATTGGTGTGACCATACCACAATTTTGTAGGAATGTAAAAGTACACTATTTTTTGAAGTGAGAATTATTGTTATTAGATTCATCCATTCACTTAAAGTTAGGGAAATAGAGAAGATTAATATGAAAGCAATTTCATTTCCACCAAATGGATTTGATTCCAGTGTGTCCTAAATCAACCATGCCCAAAAATAGTACCGACTTTAAAAAATGATGGAGATTATCTGATTATCAACTCCCGCCCTCTGCTTTGGACTGTCTGCCTCTGTGTCCATCATATAAATCTGTATTCAAACAAAACCCTGATGCCATTAATAAAGATGAAATATTGCTTGAGTGCTATTTCAGCGTTCCTCAGCAGTGCTCCAAACTCAGCTGTGCCATCTGGTTCTGTTCCCGGTCAAAAAGTCTGCTTTTATCCACTGCAGTGTGTGTGTGTGTGTGTGTGTGTGTGTGTGTGTGTGTGTGTGTGTGTGTGTGTGTGTGTGTGTGTGTGTGTGCGTGTGTGTGTGAGAGAGAGAGAGAGACCGAAAGGAAGTGGGATGAGGGGTATTACATTTAGAGTGCACTGTCACAATATGTTGTCTGAACAATGCTGTCTAAAGGTCACATGTAGAGAAGCAGTGATGCAAAAACATTTGTCAAAAATATAATTAGAGTACCAAAGTTAATCTGAAACTATAGATTAAATGTATTCACGCAAAAATATGTTCATCACTGTAATGTTGCAGCTGGTAAAGGTGGTCCTCATTTAAATTACTTTATGTGTTGTGTTGGGGATTTGAAGGGATATCTGATCCGCTTTTCAAATCTCCGCGCGTTCCTATGAAGCTGGTTATAATACAGGAAGGAATCCATATCTACAAAGTAACCGTTAACAATAATCTACTTTAATGGCAATATGACAATGCAATACAATCATTACAATACAACATGATATATTACAGTTATATTGCAATGCTTAAGGAGTAATGCCGGCTTACTCCTGCTCTAGTCCGCATACTGCAGAGCTACTTTCACCCGAGCGCAGCATGTGAAGAAGAGGCCGAACGCCAGGGATCCTCCGGAGATATACCAGAGTAAGAAGGAGGGGTTTGGTGTTAGGTCAGCTGGTCATCTTTTCAGGTCATCTCATTGGGAGACGCAACGCAGCAGGAAACGCAGCAGGAAACCAAACAGGCTCACTTTCCAACAAAAGGTCTCAAGGCCTGCATACCTACACCTCCCCCACAGAGCCATAAAACCCTGTTTACTCCAACCAGCCCAGAATGTTTATAGCCATTTGTAGTCCTTACATTTATGAAAGGATAAAACAGAGAAATCAATATAAAACACAAACACAGGTATTGTTTGAACAGTATTCACTTAACTGCTACTATTGATAAGCACCAGAGAAACCCAAGGGACCTCTCTTAACATCACAACCACTGTAGCTCGTTCTAAGTTGAATGCAAATCAGGACATGCTTTCACCTTCCCCCATCTTCCTTTGTCCTCAAAAACACATGTCAACAGGCCCCAAATGCAGCTCACAGTTTTACCCAAATTATTCCCATTTTAAGCTTATCCATAGTTTGCTAACATGAATAAATACAAATATAACTCTACAAATCCCCCTTTTTATCTCCTTCTCCAGAGATAAACTTAGACAAGGCATTTTGAAATATACCCACGGTCATTCTTTTCTACTGTGTCCGTAAATCCATCCGAAGCTGGTATTTAGAGTACTTGAAACCTTCATGGAGACAGAACACCACTTTCCATGGCAGTGAAGGAACCATGAGGGGGTAGCTGAGTGCTAGAATCATCAGCCCCCCCCCCCCGGAGGAATAGCCCACAAGAACAGCTAATAGGGAGGGGGAGATGCAGCTTGCCCTTCACGGGTGGAACTGATCAGAGCGAAGTAGACTCCTCTGCTGCCTCGACAAGTTCCCTGTGCCGTCCTGGCTTGCCGTGTCTTTGTCTCCCAATCCGCTGACGGCAGCTTCTGGGCTGCCTGCTAGAGAGATGTCTTCCTCCTCCTCGTCCTCCGGCCCGCTGATGGCGGCTTCCGGGTCGATGCTGTAGAGATGTCTCCAGGGTCCTCCTTCTCCGGCCCGCTGATGATGCCTCCCGGGTCGTCTGCTGTAAGGATGTCTCCAGGGTCCTGCTCCTCCAGTCTGCTGCTTCCGAGTAGTCCACGTCTGCCAGGGCCACGTCCGTCCTGATGTCGTCCCCTGGTCCTAGTAGGTGGTTTTCCCCGCCGCACACTGGCTCCCGTGGTACGAGCTGTCCCCCTTTTCTCCCAGGCAGACGGCATAAGAGGTCCGCTGGGTCACTCGGTCGGGGTCGGAGAGCCTGGGGTTGAGCCACTTTGTCCTCGTGCTTCTCGGGTCCCCCTTTTGGCGCCAGTGACCTGTGTGGAGAAATCTGATACAACTCCCTCAAGCCTACGCTCAGCTGTTTTGCCCCACTTGGAGCCTCTTGGTGGGGTGTCTTGAAACAACAGCCGTCTGTGAACAGGTTTTCCAAATTAATTGTAGACCTCCTATCTGCCAGTGCAGCTTCAGAATCTTAATACTTGGACTGTGCCAACTAAATAAGAACCCCAACATCTTTAGGTAAACTAAATAACATATTTCAATAGCTCTGAATTTCTGACAAGCATCCGTGTTTATTTTTAAATGAGATCCTATTTAAAATCCAAATATAATATGAACTGCTAATGTTTCTGGTAAAGAAACACACTAATGTTATGGATTCAAAAACAACCAAAATCACGATGCTAACAAAGTGAATGATTTCCTGGTGATACTGCTTCTACCTGTCAGTGCTTAGATATTATCACGCTGAAAAAATGAATACAGAATTCCAACAACCTGTCATCAAATGTCTTTCTATTATAAATTTAGATGAAATGTATATCCCCATAATGACCTAAACAATAAAGTCTATGGCTTTTACTTCTTTACCAGGCTAGTTACATGATGTTGTCTAAATTAAATTCTGTCTCATTACACTACTATGTTTTAGCTTAACTTAACTGTAATATGTTCTTTCTATATTTCAAACCTCAGTTACTCTAATGTCTGTTAATATTACAAAATTGTCTCATTATCACAGGTCAACTTCTTCGGTTTCACAGTAGCCCCTTGACCACTGCTTCTTTGTTACCTGCTATAATTCAAATCAATATTTAGAAACATCTCAACATTCATCAAACAGTATCTTATCCCCAGATATGGAGCAGGTTAATTACATTCAATGCTCAATCCTTAAAAAATGTAAATTGTGAATTTTACAGCCATGTTGACATTTATACATTATACTCACTCCCCCCTTTTACACATGAAATAATGTGTAACAAAAGCCTGTAATGGGAGGGGAACAAAAACTGTCAGGTAATTGGTTAGGAACATAACGAACATTATTATCATTATTTCCACAGTAAACACTTCAGTGAAAAGAAGTGTTCCTCTCCGTCCTTCAGGCCTAAAAGAAACAGAATCTTCAGATTGTAGTTTTACATTTGCCAACCGCCAACTCATGTGAGAGGAAAATATCACATGTGCGGTTTCCTCTTTTTGTGGAATTTTTAGGAAACCTCTCGTTTCCCTTGGAGCTCCAAAATAATATGTTAGTCCAAAAACATGCTTGGTTAGTTATTGTTTTAGAATCATGCAGTTACACTGATCACATGCCGGCATTCATTCACACTCACACTGTCTGGTTGTCATGTCAAGTTTGGTCAGGTACACCCCAGAGTCAGTCATCCACAGTGCCTTGTCAAGTGACACTGTCGGTCAGGGTCAAAGGTCAGTTGGTCTCCGTCTTTTTTGGCCATGTGTCGTGCTCTGCAGAGACTTTGACATTTCAGCATAGGCCAGTATCCTTTGTCTACAAAAATATGTCACGATTTCAACTATGATTTTCAAGATGATTCTCACTTGTCATTGGGACTTCCGCCTCCCACTTTTCCTGAAACTTGGTACAAAACTCACTTCCTTCGAGTACCACTACTAATTAAAATGTCTAATGATCTATTTCAGAAACTTTTGTACAATAACTATTATCTTGAGTCAAAACATTACTAGGATCTGTGTCGCTCTGCATTTCATAGCTCATTATAATTCTGGTCTACTTAAAAAACAATGATAAACTCTTTAGCAGTG